ATAATTACTCTAATTGTATTTTATCCTCTCGTAATTCCTGAAGCAGCAGAAATGGGAAATTGATTTCGTGTTGTTGGTAAAATTACGATGTAAATATAATTATTTGGTAATTCATGGGATTTTTAACTGTAACTGTAAAAATTCCATGGCGGTGAAGTTAAGGGCGAATTGTTATTCCCGTGGATTATTTAATTTGTAATTTAGTTTCTGGGCTGGGGTTCACGTGTGCGAAAGATCTGGGGTGACTTCCCCTCATGTATTATTCTCGGCCGAGTTGAAGCCACAATTTGCATAGTTTCGTCGGTCCATCGCGAGTGAAAATACGACATCCTTCACCAATTGACTCACTCCCATCTCCACGTGTGCTGAATATTTTCTTATCATTTCCATCTGCATTATCACCTCCTTTTCTGTATACGAAAATATCCACCAGAAAGATCACAACATTAATACAGAATAAAAATAATTAATAATAAAATTCGCATTTTCTACAGAATTCACCAATATTAATAATAATAATTTGAAATATATATAAATAGAAAAATGAAAATTACAGCTTATCATTGAATATCTTTTATTAAATTGTTCTGTATTAGAAAAATTATAAATTAATGAATTACGCAATTAAATCGAATTTTCTGAAATATTAAATTCCATTTTGCCTGTGCCATTTATAAAAAAATGATTAATATTGTGTTCGCTATTTCTGAATATTTTTTTCATAACTGGCACAGGCAAAATGGAGTTTAATATTCTAGAAAATTCAATTTATTTTCGTAATTCATTAATTTCGAATTATTCTACTACAAAACAAGTCAATAAAAGATATTCAATGATAAGATATAATTTTCATTTTTCCACCCAAATTATTATAATTAATATTAGTGAATTCTACAGAAAATGTGAATTAAATTATTTATTAATATCTTGATCTGTCTGCTGGGGATTTTCTTTCAGCAGTCGTTGGTAATTTTTTCAAAAATAGAGGAATTTCCCTAATTATTGTAATCCTCCGCAGATGTCAATGCGATGCAGCTGAAAATAGTCAGTAAAATCCCTTTACTCGAGCGAATTCTTTCCATAATGGAGTGGCGCCTGTCCACTCGTTACAATTCAGAGCTAATTATCCATCCGTTGACAGATGTTCCAGTGTCGAGTGTCGAGTACTCAGGACACACTTGCTCCCCCTCACCCCCTCAGAAATTACTTTTTGTTATCCCATTATGCCTGAAGAGTCCTGTCAAAATGGTTCATTTTCAGGCGAAAGTATTGTCGCCCAAGTACAAACAATTTGTCCCCCAATTAAAGAATTCCTGTTATCCCAGTACTATTGAGACAAAAATGATAAAAAACGGAGGAATATTTTCCCTCGGACTTCAATTCAATTCAATTCAATTGAATCAATAAAAATGTATATATATATTAAAATATTTTATATATATATTTTAAATATAATCCTAATGATTCCTAATCCTAATGAGCATAATATTCTTGAAATGTTTTATTAGTTGAAATAATAATGATTGAGACGTCAAGTCTGTTAATGAATTAATGAAATTTTCAATTGTATTGACAATTGATGGTGGGTGAACGATCGGTGTGAATGGTTTAATTTCTTAGGTGAACTTGACCGAGTTACCTAGGATTGCTTGAATGAGGTAAACGGGGGCAAGGCGCGTAAAGTGGACAGCATTCATCCTCGAACATTGAATCAGCATGTAACATGATTAGGTCATTAACGCCCTAACCAAGTTAGCATAGTGCGAGGGACTTGGTGTGCCATCGTCGTCTCTCGTCCCACGGTGTTTCACCTCTTCCTGACTGAATACCACCCCATACCACCCACTCTGGAGACAAATGGACGCGTGACTTGAGAGTCGATCATCTGCATTCCTCAGATTCCACGGATTTTCCATATTTTTCCATTCATCTCACCTATTTATCGTTCTCCATCCAGCCATTTTCTCCAGGGATTTTTCAAGTCCAAGTTCTTAGTCTAGTCCGGTGGTGTGACATGTGGTGTGACATTTTTGGAAAAATTGGGTTTTTGATGAAGAAAAATTTCTGATCGCTGGTGGATTGCGTTTTTTTTTATTAATATTTTTTTATTAGTAATTTTTTAGTAATGAGGGCAGTATCTCGGTTGTTTAATTATGATTTTGATTGGGGGTTTTTGCGGTTTCAGGGGCTGAGGGGGCATTTAAAAAATTGAAACCCGAGCCATGTGCCTCTAGTCCACACATCGGCCACACACCAACCACAGCGAGTTGTCCGACGCCCGCACGACGACGGCACAGGACCACTTTTACCCAGGTATTTATCATTTTTCCCTTCCAATTGACGTATCGCAATTGAACATTATCACTGAAAAAAAGATAACTCTGTGTACATGCACGGAGAGAAATATTCAAGAAAAATGACAGAACATTTCACTTAATCCGTCAGCGAAAATCATTTTCGGGGAATAAATCTGGAATTTTCAGTGATTTTTCGGGTTCCGTTTCAAAATCAAACGAAACTTCAAGACTTATTATGCCTCAGAACAGAAAAATCATTGGCTCTTCAAGAATTTTTACGGAATATTTCGTAGAATTTATTTGATGATTACGTCGCTTGCAGATTACGCGAAATATTCCGTCATTTTTCCTGAATATTTCTCTCCATCTGTGCCTGCATGTGCAATAATTTCGCCATCATTCGTATCGATTAAAATCTCCCTCCCCCCAATTTTTTTGAGATGTTTTTAATTTTTTAAAAATCCCGTCAATCACTGTATCCTAAAAAATAATAAAGAATAAACACTTCAATTATTTGTTATTCCCATTCAAAAAAGTTGTTGGCAAAAATATGGGCGGATTTATTCCAAAGGGAAAACGAAACTTGCAAGTTCTTTTGTTGCAATTACTAAATAAATCTGGGATTGGCAGAATGGACGATTTCATCAAAATATAAACGAAAATTCCCAAGTTTCCATGAACCCTTTAATTTTCTCAAAGTATGAAGTTAATTGCACTGGCTCATGCCGCGGAAATGCCTTGTACATGTGGTAGAAACAGCCGGTGAACTAGTGTGCTACGATGGTATAGATGGTACGTGCCTTCAAACACGGTTTCCAATTGTTTCGCAGGAACAGCTGGCGGAATTGGAATCGGCGTTCGCGAAATCCCATTATCCGGACATATACTGCAGAGAGGAATTAGCGAGGAGCACGAAATTGAACGAGGCCAGAATCCAGGTGGGTAACACAATGTTGCATTGTCGCCATTCTGTCCTTATGAAAAATCTATATTTATTTAAAAAATAATTCTCCACCAAGATTCCAAGATATCTTCATTAATCCTATTTCATTCATCAATACAAAAAAAAGACTGCACTTCCTGATTAAGATTATTCTAATTAGAGACAAGTGTTTAATCATCAATTCTTGTTTTAAAAAATATTATGTTATAACAAATTAATACCAAGTAATATTTTTAATTGTAAAATTTTTTCATCTCTCGGTGGAGTCTACGAGTCTCCAAGTCTAGTCCGTTTTAAAAAATCTATAAAAAATTCCTGATGACATTTTGCATTTATACTTTGAATTTTGGTTCATCCCCCCATAGTTACTCAATTACTATTCCATATAATCCCACACACACACAGTAAGTGCGTTGGGCTTTTGGCTTTGATGGATTTCCAGTAAAAATTTGCGATTCGTGTGGAAATGGAGGCGATGAAAAACGGTGAATTCACGTGAAAAGTGGAGGAAGAGGGTGGGAAAGAGGAGAGATCGGTGATATGATAGAGTTGATAAACCCGATGATTCTATCGATTTATTCTCGTACAGACTGCTCCATATCAATCCCAATTGTTGCCCTTGTTTCGAATTTCGTTTAAAACCATTTTTTTTTATCAATCCCTCTGTTCTCTTGTTTTTGATCATGAACCCAATGACTGGGATTCACAGAGACTGCAGTTCTCCATTGCCCAGCGTGACTCATTCCACGTAATTAAATCAAAGAACACGAGCGTGCAGGGGCGCTCCAATTCAATTACCAGCGCAAATGTCGATTCAAGAATATATCTACGACCTACACTCACAACTGTATCTCAAAATTCATCCGTATGAATCCGAATAAATAAAACACCCAAATCTACTCTAACATTCGGTACAGATTTTTTTTTTCTTGCAAAAATATTAATATTAAATATTTCTTTTGCTGGAGACAACGATTGATTATTTTTTTCATCCCAATTTCAATCAATCAAATTCTGCCAGTAGATTTCGGCCTTTCCCGTCACGTGGTACCAGTACAACGGTTTTACTTCGAATATTTTTCGAATATCTCCCGGTTTGTTGTTAAACTATGGAAGCTATGGAAATATCCGATAAACAATTTGTACGCGTTTCAAACACCAAAACTGTCTGGTTGTCAAAATCGAAAATTGAGATTTCATAATAAAACCGTTTTATTTAAATCATATGACGTGAAATGCCACATATTTAACTGCTTGAAAAAAATACAGAAATTGCAATAAAAAAAATAATCAAGCCAAATACCTATCGACCTTCAAAATTAATGGGATATTTGATTTTTTACTTGCAAAAATTATCCCTCTGTTGCTACGCAACGAAACTCTCCATAAATATCCAATAATTTTGAAGGCCTTGGGGTATTATTACTAAAGAAATCTGCAAACATGTCTCTAATATATCAATATATCAATATTAATGTTTGACAATTACATTGATTTAATTTTTTGATGTATTTAGGGAATTTGCGGTGATTTTTTGCCGCGGTGTTTTCATCCTTTTCAATGCAGATCATGCGGTTGGCAATAATTTTCACAATTGGCGAGTGCTGTACAGTGTAAATGAGAGAACTAGAATAGTCGCTGTGAAAGAGACGTGGATATTTCACTGGGTACATATTAAAACACTCGACTCTGCGTTTTCCGCTTTTGATATATAATGCACAGGTGTTGTTTGCATTAAAAGCCCGGGAACCGCTACGACTTAACCCTGTTAAACTGCGATGCCAAGTAAAACGCGGTTGGCTTTTAGTGCTCGTTGCCCTATAACTTATGCACAAAGGATTTTACTCGGATATCTCGACCTATCCGTTCATCTCGTTTTAGATTTTATCATTTTTATAATCTCAGCTTCGTCGGATAAATACATCATTTTCTACTTCCTAATTTTGTAAATTATTGTGCATGTCACTCGCGGGGATTTTTTCTATTGTAAAAGGGATAGGCTTGACACTATCGATTATCTCGATAATCTCGATAATCTCGAAATGGTCAAGTCATGATTTCTTATTGGTTCACTTGAAGTGGCGCGAGATTATAAAATCGTAATTCTTTTACGGAATCTTATTGTAAAAGGGATAGGCTTGACACTATCGATTATCTCGATAATCTCGATAATCTCGAAATTAGGAAGCCATGATTTCTTATTGGTCCACCTAAAGTGGCGCGAGATTACAAAGTCGTAACTCTCTTACAGAAATTGGAAATAGTTGGATTCTCGTGAATATTAAAAATATACTTTTGTCTAAAATAAATATTTAACCTATTTAAAATGTTTTTGAAATGATATTCAATAATAATTTTGAATGACGAGAGATTATTTCAGTTGTCCAATTTTTAAAACGCGAGATTACAAAGTCGTAACTCTCTTACAGAAATCGTTTCATACGTGAATATTAAAAATATACATTTTTCTAAAAT